TGATCTGATCCAGTCTGGGCACGGTCTCGTCTTATCTGTTTCGAGTCTGCCCGGTCTGCTCTGATCCGGTCTGGGTACGGTCTCATCTGATCTGTTCTGAGTCTGGTCGAGGTCTGATCTCATCTGGCCTGGCCTGAGTCTGGTCTCATCCGGTCTCATCTGGACCCGGCCCAGTGTGTTATGATATCAGTCTGGTCTGATTTGAAACGATCTATACTGGTCGAAATCTGAACTGGGTTGATCTAATGTGAACTGGCCCGATCCTGTCTGATCTGATCCCTCCTGGCCCGGACTGAACTGGTTGGGTCCGGATCGGGTCTGTGGCTTGGCCTGAGTCTGACTATCTGGTCGAATCTGATCCGATCTGATGTGGTCTGTTCTTGGCCCAGACCGGTCGGCTCTGGCCTGGGACCCGTGACGAGATGCGCGCAGTCACGCGCAGCCAGGTCCTTACGCGCCCCACCCGCGAGCCCGGTTGGCCTGATCAGCTGATCAGGCACGCGTCTTACAGCTGGTAAGCGCGTTTCCGTTCCCTCCAAGCCCGCCTCCTTTGGTTGTGGTCCGCAAGATGGCAGGTAGGGACAGTGGGAATCCCGGTAATCCATTCGTGGGCATCACTAATTAGATGACGTGGCCAAATCTCTTCACTTTGGCATTCAGAGCAGCAAGTGGGAATTACATTGCGTCAACATCCGCTAGCGCAATGCTTTGCTCTAATTAAACAGTCGGATTCCACTCGTCTGTGCCGATAAGAAGTAGTGGTAGTTCATTTGCACCGTATAGCCCCCCACTTGTTCTGCACTTCTCAAGTTATTTCACAGAGTCGAACTGGAGTCAATCAACAGGTCGTTCTTCCCCCGCCGGCTCTACCAAGCTTGTCCCTTTAACTGTAGTTTCACTTGATGGTCGATAGAGACTGTGCGGGTCTCGTCGATCCTCTCTCTCTGTCGACGCGTGAGACCGCCACTCAAGCGTAATGGCTTCCCCGACATAGCAGGCTTTCCCACGCGGACTCTCTCACTACTCTCTCAACACTCTCGCTCTCTATCTCGCACGCTGTCTGAGCCTGTCTCACACTTGCTCGTTCACTCGCTCATTGCGCAACAACTCCTTCCCGCCTCGTAACTCATTTTCCCGTGCGGTTGGTTTCCCCACACGCAACTCGGATAGGCTTGCGCAACCCTCCCCTTCACGCAACTCATTCTCCCCCGTCGCAGCTTTCCCCGCCGCACGGTTTTCCCCCACACGGTTCTCCCCCGCATGGCTCTCCTCCCATCATGGCCGTGGCTCCTTCTATGTCTCTCTCTCTCTCTCTCTCTCTCTCTCTCTCTCTCTCTCTCTCTCTCTCTCTCTCTCTCTCTCTCTCTCTCTCTCTCTCTCTCTTGCTCGCTCGCTCGCTCGTAGCCCGCCAGTAGCTGCTTTCCTGCGGAGCAGCTTCTTCCCGCCGCACAGCCCGTTTTCCGCGCTACTTGATCCGCCTGTGCGCTCATTTCCCTCGCGCGCAGCTCGTGCCCGCTTGCATGGAAGCTTTTCCCCCGCTAGCAGCTAGCTCCTCTCTCGCGCGCAGCAGT